GGCCTAGTAGTAGTAGTAGTAGGCCTACTACCACCACGTCTTCTAGGCCTAGTAGTACTACTGTAACCTTTGAACTTTCAAGGACTCTATTATGGGATGTTCCCGCGGAGTCTCGCTCTCTCGTGGGGGTTCGTCGACTAGCCAAGCTGCGTCTTGTTGGAGGCTCACACTTTGTATAGAATAAAACCGTTAACATCCAGCTTACTTGGTGTCTGGCTCATTCATTGAAGTCCGAACTCATCTAGTAACATCCATAGAGAGTTACACTGGTGTCGTGACCTGGCGTTATCTTCTTTTACCGGAGATAACCGAGCCGCATCATCATCGCCGATCGGTAGTGTGCAGCCTCCTCATCAGCTAGCCGACCAGACTCATCCCACATCACGCGCAGCGAAGATTGTATCTTTTCATGTGTCAATTTTCCCTATGCCACAGTATCTATAATAATTTTTTTTAAAAGCCTGTGGTATATATATCCTTATAGGTTATATGGTTTCAGTCCTAACGTACTTTATTTCGTATATCCCCCATAGTTTTGTTATTTCGTACGTCTACCTGTACACGTATATCATCTGTGTAGGCCAACGCTCGCTGAGCGTGAATCAGCTAATTCATTTTGCATTTGTTGCTAGGTTACGTACTTCGTTGTTAGTATTGCTAGGCCTAGGCTCGCTATAGTTATGGCGCCGGGTAAAAATTCTAAGACACCCTCATCTCCTCCCCCTGACCTTAATCAGGGTAGTGGTAATGCACAACCAGCTGGTGCTGGTAATAATAGTTACCTATCGCCGTTAAAAGTTGAATTACCACCATTCTTTGTTGGGAATGGAACTGAGGCTTTCAGTGTTTGGTGCCGTAGACTTGAGGTGGCTTTGAACAGAAAAAAAAACAGAACGAACAAACACAGAACAGAAACAGAGGGACAACCAGAAACAACAGTACCACAACAACGAGGCGACAGCATGCGCAGGGGAGCGTACCGGTCGCGCGCGTAATTTTTTTTACGCATGTGGTTATAGAAGTTAGGATTTGTTTTTTCCAGGTTTTAGTGTTAGTGGCATGAGGGTCTTTTCTCCTTGTTCATGGGGAATTGAAACCGTCCATGCGCGCGCGTAATTTTTTACGCAGATGTTATAACATTTAGGATTTTGTTTTTCTTTTGGTTCTAGTTTAGCTGGTGTTTGGGCCATTCCTTGCTTGCGCGGCTTGTGTGATTGTTGAATTGATTCTGATAAACTTAATAATTTTCACCGTTTCTGATACTACTACAAGTTCCATGGATTATTGTTATTGCAGATAATTTTTTTTATCTGTTGTACCATACGCTATTCGTATGTTGGTAGATTGAATGTTTTATTTTTGACAGTGTTTATAATACAGATATTTTTTTTTTGCACCATACGCTATCCGTATGCTGCTGCTTTGCTGATTTCTTTGAGATATTTTTTTTTTGCACCGTACGCTATTCGTATGCTGCTGTGTTGCTTTATTTTTGGAATTTTTTTTATATATACACCTGTCTCTTATACACATCTAGATGTGTATAAGAGACAGATATATGGGTTTAGAGATAGAGTACGAAAACTTGGTACTGTATTATCATAGACGAAGATGTGTATAAGAGACAGCAATTGTATATTCCTTTGTTTGGTTTTGCGACTTTCTTTGTACATTTCATTTTGTTACTTTGGATGCACCATTATTGTAATGGGTGCCGCTGTTTTAAAAGCGTTTTTCCGAAATAAATTATTATTATTATTATAAATCCATATGTGAAATTTCAAATTTATGAATCCATCACTACAGTAGTAGCTTTATTTGATATCGACATCATGGAAGTACACATCCATGAAGATATTAATATCAATATTGATAAAGACGGTGTCATTTGGGCCTACCCTCACTTTCACTGTCCTTTAAAAATAATATAGAAAATATTTTTTTTCGGGCTATAACAAATTTCCATTATTTAGGATTAAAGTTGTGTACCAGATGATTATAGGCTCTTGCTAATAAATTGCTTATATTGTTAATGAAAAAACAGATACGAATCTACAATGTAAACATCGAACGGAAGTTAGCAAGCCCAAAGCTGTAATTACTGTAAATAAATTTTTTAGCCAGTTTCAGCGAGTCACTTTCAATGTATGTTGAATAGAATGCCGTATGCCAGTGCATGCTTCTGTCGACGAAATTGTCAATGCCTTCAATGCGGCTGCCTAACAAACGTAGTCAAAATAATAACATGACAGAATTAACTAGTGAATTAACGATGCAAAATGTTCAATACTGTACTTACATTTGTTATTAATTGTAAAGTCTCCTTCGTAGTCCATTGAGTAATGTTTATATGTAAAACGCCACCTGGAGTGATATAAAAAAACAATTAATTATTCTTTTTCCAATGCACCATTCCTTTATGAAGATGAGGATGATGAGGGTGATGATGATGATGATAATAATAATAATAATAATAATAATAATAATAATAATAATAATAATAATAATAATAATAACAATAATAATAATAATAATAACAATAATAACAATAATAATAATAATAATAATAATAATAATAATAATAATAATAATAATAATAATAATAATAATGGTGGTGGTAGTTATGATGATATTGATGAGGTTGATGATGATGATGATGATGGCGATGTCGATAATTATTATTATGTTGATGATTGTAGGATAAGAATCGACTTAAAAAATTCCGATTCCGATGGAATCAGTATGGGCTGTTACTACTAAGTTACACAAAGGTATTAATGGTCAAGCCGGCCCTAATTACTTGCAATCTAAATTTATCACCCTTTTAAAGTGAGGGACATTCATTCTTGTGAAGTATGCATGTGCTATTTTCCAGCAGAGGAGCCACTTTTTTCAACCATGGTATTGTGTCCGCCCCTTGAGGGGGACCGGGTAGTGACTGTACTGGTTAGCAGTGTGGGCGCAGATCATAGAGAGACGGGGGTACGTCCCCAACATATTTTTAAGGGAGTTCTGGTCCACCTCACCTTTTGGCCACAATATAATTTTATAAGTAAAGAGGATGCCTGAAAGTTGTTGAAATGAACTGCATAAAAAAGACCCAGGTTTTAACGAAAGAGCGTTGTACAGCCAAAGTAGAGTACACTGTACATCTTATAGAAAGATTCCACTATCTCTGCCCACTAACATCTGAATTATCTGTAATACACGACGCGAGTACGCATGCCTTTATTATATTTAAGAAGTATGAGAAAAAGTATAATATTGGTTTTCGGCACACGAAGTAGATAATTTAAAGTAAATACATCAAAAACAATTAAGTTTTATTTTATATGGTACAATACAGAAGTTAATTAGATGTCCATTATTGACGAAAATTGCAGATAAAAGATTATGGTGATGTGATGATGATGAATTTAGTATAGGCCTAAAGGAATGTTATTCCCGCTATCTTGAGATATTATTCCCCAACCATGATGGGGTGGGTGTGGACTCACGGCTTTGAAGTAAGTGAAGTACAGTACACCAAAGACAATGTTTTAAAGTTTTATTTTCTGTGGTGCATCACGCATATCAATTAGATCTCTATGGTTGCGGAAAATCGATGATAGAAGATAATAAGAAATTTGTTGGCGCTTCATTTTTACTATAATGGTGATGTGATGATGACGAATTTTACTAGGCCTATATAAAAGTGTCATTTCCGGCCATCTAGAAGTACTATTTATTTCCAAGAGTTTTCGCACCTCAGCCCATGGTGGGGCTGAGATGGGCGTGGACTCACACTTTATCTTTGACGTAATAAAGTAAATTAAATACATCATGGTCTCATCACACATACTAATGATCTCTAAGGTTGCCGAAAATAGACGATAAAAGTTCATGATAAATTTCTTGGCGCTTCATTTTGACTATAATGTTGATGTGATGATGAATTTATAGAGTGTCATTTTCTGCAATCTAGAGGTACTATTTCCGCAACTTTTTGTACCTCAGGTCAACCATGGGGCCGAGGTGGGTATGAATCTCCCCCCCCCCCCATCCCGCTCTTATAATGGCCGGGCAACTTGCAAAATGCTTCAAACAGCTATGAAAATATCGACGGAAAACGTATCGAACAAGTAAAACAAATAAGATATATGGGTTTAGAGATAGAGTACGAAAACTTGGTACTGTATTATCATAGACGACACATACGTCTGTAAGCTCCAAGATGCATAACCTAGGAAAATTGGCCCAAAAAAAATGCACCAATCTCTGCTTATTACATAAGCACAATCGAATCATATATATAGCTTATGAAATTGCAGTTTTGGGAAACACATCAGAGAAAAGTATATTTTAAAGACTGCAACAAGAATTATATAACAAAATTTTGATTACAAAAACTGTCGTGGCGAAAACATAATTCAACAACTAATTTCATGTTTAATGTACAAATGCTATATGACACCCCTCCCCCCACCCCTCGTTAATATAACAATAACAATTTTAAATCATAATGTGCAGTACTACATAAAAATAAATACTATAAATCAAGATTTTCATTTATGCATTGATTTTTTACTAACATATAGATCAGGGGCCCTTGGAGGCAGGGGGCTCCAAGTTCGATGAAGCTGCTAAACCTGCGGTAGTTACGCCACTGGTTGTAAACAATTTGTATAGTGTGTTATAAAAATAACGATAACGATACTGGCAATGGCATCCGCATCGGCAATTTTTAATAGGAATAGAAAGAGATATAATTATAAAAATCATAATCTTTATCATCGACGACATAATCATGGTGTCATCATCATCATCGCTGCCATACTGTATTCACCACCAGCATAACCATGATTTTATTATTATAATAATAATAATTATGCAAATGACAAAGTAAAAACTGGCGTCAAGTACGAAAATCTTGAATTGTCAGCAAATCTATGAGCGGCCATCATCAAGACGTATGCAATCATCATATTTAAAAAAAAAACTACACAGCAAGCAAATCAATTATTTGCAAATGTCTTTATTAAATTAATTTCTAATATCATGTACTTCTTTACAGTTGAATGAATAAAACTAATATATATATATATATTATAATAATATATAAACAAATACATAAATAATCATAATCACCATATATATAGGCCTATATATAATTGAGGTATTCTGTCAGATTTCTTTTTGTTTCTGTCTGCCGTACATACACGAGATTCCAACGTAATCGTGGATGGGTCTTTCCTCAATATGATCACCGTTAACTTGTTTATTCATTGGCATTATGACATTAAATGACATGTACCTATTCTAATATATTTAAGGAACGTTTTAAGCACAAACAGGCTATGTCCAAGGGACAAAAACTGTATTCACCTACATAGTACACAGCTATATGTTGATTGTAGTAGAAATGTTCGTCTACTTTTGACCACACTGTATACACCTCTATGCTATATTTATAGAACCTTTAGAAAACATGGAAATACACACACATTTACACACACTCACACACACACACACACACATATATATATATGTATATATGTGTGTGTGTGTGTGTGTGTGGGTGTGTCTGAGTGTGGCGGATCAAGGAAATGGAAATAGACAGGGCCGAGGGAGGGACTTTTACAGACATAGGGTCTAGACCCCTTCAATCCCACCATGTCAGGGCTGGGGAAAGAACATTTATGATTACGTCACTTCTAGATAGATGGCCGAAAATGGCACTCTCAAACCTAAATTCAATTATAATTTTCCTTATTTCTTCATTTTTAAAAATAATTTTCAACAATTCACGGGGCTGCCTCGCCCACCACCCCTTGAATCCGCCACTGTTATATATATATATATATATTTAAACCTAATCGCTAGCCGAGCAGTATTGTTTCTTTAGAAGGTACTGCCCATGATCGGGACTGCCACTGCCTATAGAATATAATATTTTATATCAGGCTTATATAGTGTATACTATGAATATAGCATTACCCATGATGATGGTCAGTTAGTAATTAAGCATTATCCATGATGATGGTCAGTCTTCTATGACTCAGGTTCATTGTTATCTATGCTACTGAACAGGAAAATTTTCATTCTTTATTTATTTCATCTGTTAGTTCCATTTGACTACCTAATATAACATGAATACAATTTCTGAAACACTATCTATTATGAGCTTGCATATAGTCTATTCCTAAAGAACCTTTAGAAACATGGAAGCATATAGTTATTATCTTATATAAAAACTACAAAAATATCATTGTCTTTGGATATACGTTTATCTTCTTTCTTCAAGTTGCATCTGCAAAGAAAACAAATTTTTTTTTCCCTTAAATTTGTACCTTCATGTACTTGTATTTCTTAATATCTACCAAACTTTCTATCTGAATATTCTGAAAGGGTGGTATACAGTGTATGTACGCATACATTATGTATAAGATATTACATTATATTATTATTATTAAAGTTCAGAAATACCTATAGTATTAGTTATAACGATTAATTGAATACAATTGTAACATAATAGAGAATGGTGGTGAGTGACTTAATGGAGTTATGATGGTGACATAAAATTATTGTGAATAATGATAGTGGTATAAGCATAGTACACAGGTACTAAAATAGCATAATTATGTTTTGATTATGATATAATATTATTATTAATAATATATTATTACACATTTTAACTGCTTTAAAATTGTTATAGTATAGCTATTTTGATTTTAGTGTTCTTTTATTTTTAGATTTTAGATAATATAGATCTTGTACACAGTTTCGATTGGTTTTATATTAGGTTTACTTATAATTTTTTTCAATATTTCAAATGTTTTATCCTTATTTTTGGTATAATTTGGCTCTTAACTATACACTCACCATTAATATTCAGAGTGGTGGTTTCGTACAAATCCTCTGTTTCTATACTCCTGTGGAAATGGAGTCACAGCATTAGACACATGAAAGTAGACCTACAGTACTCTATTAAATGACGGTTTTAAGAAAATCGTATTGTCGTAGTTTAGATAAAAACAGATGTCAACAAATGGTTCCACAGTATTTGTACCTGTCGAAATTGACTTCGACAATAAGCCTTCATTAGACAAATAGCATATGAAGATAAAACTATAGGCTACCCATTGTGTCCCTAGTGTGCTATACTGTCTGTTTTTGTGGGGAGACAGTGGCCATGGCTCTTAAAACAGACAGACGAGCCCAAACATAGAGACGGCATTGAGCTTTAGTTAGGGTCATGGAACAACGTTCCTGGTTGGGTTATTAATAATAATAATAATAATATTTATTTAAATATCACATTGACATTTTTAGTCCGACGACCTCGTTGGGTGATGCTTGTCTAACAGAAGGGGAATTTATTCTTGGACCCATACTGGTGCCATCCTATAGAGAGAGATCCAAAAATATTGATTATATTGCTTTCTTATCATTTTAGTATTTCTGGTATATAGGGTATAGAAGATAATAATGTGCACCAAGGTGGTTACCAGTTTTACAGTATTCTGCTAAATTTTGTAGGGTCATCCATAAATGGAAATGGCATACATCAGTTCACCTATGTATTAATAGATAATTGAAAAATTTAAGAATATTTATTTAGATACATACCAACTCCTCTTCCTCGCTTCCCGTTGCTATGTATGGCATTACAAAATCATTGTAGTATGCAGTTGGTAGACCATCAGATATGGTACTCATTCCTTCATTCTGTAATGTAGCAGAAATACAATTTTGTTCACATAATATCGTTTCTGTATTCCCATCTTATTGTTATGTGTTTTGCATAGATTTCTTTATTAATCATCATCGTCGCCGTCATAATCTTCGTCCGTCAGTCTTCATCTTCGTCATCATCATCATCATCATGTCTTCGTCATTGTCTTCTTCATCATCGTCTTTGTCAACATCATCGTCATAATCATCATCATCATCATCATTATTATCACCATCTTCATCTTCATTATTATTATTATCATTCATTTTCATTAACATCATTATAATTTTTTTATGTTAGCATTACTATTATTTTTATTATTATTACTACTGCAAATTTTGGTGAGTGATGCTTTTGCCCTACACGATGTGTTATCACTCCAATTCAATTATTTTACGTTAAACAACATCGATGTTGCTAATATTATTTTAATCATAAATATAATATCATTTATGTCATAATAAATAACATTATTATCATAATTTATATTATTATTTATTTGCTAAAAATATTGTTAAAGATTAATTGTATTGTTAAAAATATACTGCCTGCAAAAAAATTGTAAAATCCTCAATCAAAATTTAGAATAGCTCATTTATCAAATAGGTTATTAATTTCAAACTGAAACTGATAACAGGAAATATTTTTCTCTGATATACCGACTTTTACTACAAATATCCTTGAATTGATTACCAGCCATTTAAACAATGTGTACAACAAAATATCTAAATTCCACTTTTTTGCTATTTTTTCCTTGGAATTTCAAGTTGAAATTGAAGAAGTATCAAGAATCTCTTACTAAGTGTAATTTTGTTGGTTATATAAAATAGTCATTAGGAAAAAAGATACCACAGGAATGGTGATGGTTTCGCACAAATGCAATTTTATCAGGCCTGGTACCAATAGCCTAAAGTGGGCCCCGTTCTAAAAAGGAGCCGGTAATTATTTTCCTTCCCAGCTCAGTATTGTAGCCTACTATTATTATTATATGAAACATTCGAAGCAAGCTCACATCCATGTTCGGTGCATTCCTTATGACAGTAGCCATGTGGCGCATTCGACTTTCTTCACTATCACCCTCTGTTTCATCATAAAAGCTATCCACATCCTTGTACCGTCTGCTCAATGGATTATGAACAACCCTACTAGAATATATTCCCGGTGGTGTTGGATACTTAGAGAATGGCTTAGCATTGATCCGCCTTCTATAAACAGCAGCAACCATGATGCTTAGCATTATGAGCAAAATGACGAGGAATGCTGCAACTGATCCAACCACAATCGGAACAATCAAAGAGTCATCTAAAGTATGCAAATATAAACAATATATTAATAGTTGTAATTTATACAATGAAATTATGTAAATATACATCAAATTCTATGAAAGAAAGATTATGTGGTATAATTGTAGATTCATTGTTTTTGAATGTAAAACATTCGCAATGTTTACTGCTGAAAATAATGTATTTATAATATTATTATAAATTTATATACAAATTACATATAAATTAATGATTTAGCATTTTCATAATGTAATACTATATGATAGGAAATTTCCAGATTTTGGTTTTTCTGAAAGGATATAAATGAAAAACAAATTTTGGTAATATAAACATAATTCAGTTTGTATATCCCATGCAGTTATTATCAAGATATTTGCAAAAATTGACTCCAATTCTTACCATTCACAACACCTTAATAAATAGAGTACTATACTAAGAGCAGGAACAATTTAATGAATGAATAAATAAATGAATATAATTTATTACTAAAGAAATGAATGCATGTGCACCAAAAAGGAAATGAGAACATTTATTACGTATTTGAGGGATTCTGTAAAGCAAATTCAAATTAGAAAGTTGGCATGTATTGGTTTATCCAGTTAAATAATCATGAAACGGAGGTACTGTACGTGCCATATACAAGACCACTGTCATGATACAATATAAGACTACCTGACGGAATTACTAGTCTACTGCAAGATTTAGAAACGCAAGCACATAATGTAAAGACATTGTATAATTAAAACTTTCTATACTTTTATATCTAAAGGACTTTTCTTTGTATTCTTCAATGTCCTTACCTGTTACAATTTCTGTAACTGAAATAGTTGATGGATCAACAGTCAATGACACGCCTTCACTGCTAACTAAACCGTTTTCTGCTGCTATTTTCAATTTTTCTTCAACATCTAGAGCAGATACACTTGTGTCTGCAACAAACTGGACTTCTACATCAGCAATGATACTTCCTGGTGAAAATGCTAACACTCTACAGGTAGAGCTATTAATCGCAGCTTCGATCTAAGAAAATAAACATAAAGATAATGATAAAATGTTAGCAGGGAGGTTCCTCACCGTACCTTACAGTAATAGTCATACAGGTAATAATCATAACCATAATAACAATAACAACAATAACTAAGAGCAGTCACTCCATAAGGTGCATTAATCTCCCCTGTGCCTGTAAATGAGTGATTACATTACTCTCTTTTTATGGCCGAGAGTAAGTTCAAACAGAGAAAATCAAATTTTCATGAACTTGACCTTGTCTTTGACCTTTACGTTCCAACAATTGAATCTCTTTTTTAGCTTATTATGCACTATTCCCCTTAATTTTATGATGAACAGACAGACAGCGCAACAGACATTGCAGAGACCTGTACATCATGTACTGTACACATTTACCATTTATACACAAAAAACAATAACGTTTAAAAAACTGTAAAGTACATGCACGTAATGTCACGGTTCCTACTATGTTACACTTCACTTACAGCAGAGCATACATATCCTGAATACTTGATGAATCTGTCTGAAGTGTGATCATCGAGGTCATTAGAATAATCGACTTCAACTCCATCAATACTATCAATGGTTAGCGTGACTTGATAGGACACTATGGTAGAAAAGATCAATATAAACACAATTTTAATGACACGGTTTGCACTGAGTTCAAAACCAAAGGAATATGAATACCAATTTTCGTAAGAATACAATGTTTGTAGATTATAAATTCCTAAGGTGACTGCACAAATCTGGAAGAATCATACCTTAACCCAAGGGTGGGCAAAAAAATCGATCGGAGGGCCAAAGTGAATTTTTGATTTAACACCGAGGGCCGCACCCAAACCTTGATGTTCCAGTGAGCTTCCAAATACCTCCAAGCACTGCTTTCACATCACTTTATTTTTAGTTTTAATGTTACTTTTTACATATGATTGGTATGAGGCCGTAAAAAACAAGGTGTTTTCTAGCCATTTTTGATTGGCGGGCCGCAAACATAGGGTTTTAAATTGTTGCGGGCCGCAGAAAAAGCGCTGACGAGCTGCATGCGGCCCACTTTGCCCACCTGTGTCTTAACCCCATCCTTTTTTTGTATTCCTTTAACTTATTAATATTTGGCCGACAAATGCTTTTATAATATAAAGCATAATTTGTCTTTTAATTACCAAGAAGTTATTTTAGTAAACTCTATATTTGTATTCATCAATTCCTTTTGGAATGCATTTTATCTGTTGTTTTGCTGTAAGGCTAACGTCCTGTCCAGACTATCAAACTTTATTTGAAAAAACATGTGACATGCCTAAATATGGTCATGATGACATCACATCATGACCATATATAGGCACATCATGACCATATATAGGCACATCATGACTATATTATGGATATACAGCAGTTTTTGTCAAAGAAAATTTGATAATATGAACAGAACTAAAGCCTGGATTCCATAAGCTTGCTATACAGTCATAGTATTTGTTTTAACTGCAATAGTCACACTGCGTAGCTTGACAATCCTTGATTTAACCGAACAATCAGCGTTGCCGAAAGCTGTCGGAGATAACGTGCAGCGATTTTATAGAAACAGACTTTAGTCTACCCACATACAATGATGACGATTATATTCATTAACTATACCTGTTGCAGTTGTAGGTAAATTTGGAGCAGAAGTAATAACTACAGGTGTGTCTGTAGTGCCACCTGTATCATCAGTAGCATCTGCTGAACTGGCTGAACCTGTACCACTGGTTGCATCTGTAGACCTGGTTGTTGCATGTGTACCACCGGTTGCATCTGTAGACCTGGTTGTTGTGCCAGAATCACCGGTTGCATCTGTACTGGTTGCATCGGTTGTAGCAGGTGCAGTTGTCATAGTTCCTTCGTCAGCTGTAAGACATTTCATATAGTTTTACCACTGAGCTTTAAATAAATCAATCATAGCGATAAAACATGTTAATGTCATTACTCACGGTTTCTAATTGCCAAATGTCAATAATGAGGTCATATTTCACAGTAGGCCTACTTTTGCTATGTTTGATCTGGAGGTTACGACAAAATCAGCGTAATTTCATTCCTTTAGTTGGTTCTGTAAGCAGCCAATATCGATAATCTTCAGTTGGCAGTTATTTTTAAAAATAGAAGAGCCTAAATTATTTGTTTGATGTTTAAAAATTACACATTTCAAATTTTAAATATTTTATTTGATACTTTAAACAACCATAGATTATTATCCTGACCATAAACAGCAGCACTGAAGGTCTACTTTGTAAACACTTATCTGGAACTGATATAAGCCAAATTCTTAATGGAACCCTTACCCACAAAAAAATAACTGAATCGTCTAACCCAGGTGGTTCATCCAGGTAAGTATCTCACTCCTAAAACAATCAATCAATTCTGATAGAAATCAATTCTGATTTGTGTGATTATTTACTGGGTTTTAACTGGTTTGGGAGTGGTTTGGAACAGCAGTTCCTGGTTCCGCCTATAAACATGAGGTCGGCCGTGGGTAATAAAGTGAAGCTCTTAGAGGCTGTGTTGGCATGAAGCACTATCTAAGTCTAAACTCTGCATTACAATTTGAAAAGGAACTCATCATCATTATTATTATAAGGCATCCTAACTGAAGAATATGGATATTGCAACAGTTCGTCTTGACTATAGTGTGGAGCTTTTCTATACCTCTCTCGAAAAGTCCCACATTAGGAAAGGTTGGCAACAGGTGAAGTCAAGAATCTGTAAGCCTGCTAATTTACCTTAATATAGCCTAATCAACATTATTTTGTGGAAGCCCTTGTATGTAGAATGAGATACTTGAACGGGCGGCATAAAACTTAATTCAGTAGGATTCAAAATGACATTGCATATAACTACTGATTTTCTTTTTTGTAAAAGTAATAAATGTGAGTGGTGTATTTCTAACTAAAGAATTGGTACTGTAGGCCTATATATTAAAGCAATAACATTTAGTATCGAAAAAAACTGTCATAGTTAATAACATGATTAGTATGATGATCAAACAGGAACAATAGTAATAATAAACAATAGCAATATTACTGTAGTAATGATAAATTTGAATAAAAATTATTTATTTTTCATTCAGTTTAATAATACCCCATTCAGACTAGCATCGCATTGCGATCGGTTGTAGCAATTGCGACACCCAATCGCAAAGTAAAATCGTGTGTGAAAGCTCACCAGTAGTAGGCGATATGTAATCGATATCGCAATTGTTACCCGTTTCGATTGGGTGCTACAATCTTTATTACTCCCGATTACCACAGAATCTGATCGCAACAAATCATAATGAATTCCACAGGCACTGTTTGGCTGAGGTCAGGCAACATAGGCCTAGACACCGGAGGCCTAGGCCCTAGAATGTAAAGTTTGTTTGTGTTGGTCTGAATGCGTTCGTTGATTGTGATCGGGAGTAATCAGTTTTGGATTACCACTGATTACATCGCAACCGATTGCAAGAGAGTGTAGTCTGAATAGGGTATTAGTGTCATTACCATCGTAATAATACAATAATGGTGTACTAAATGTTAATGGTAATAAAAGTAATAATAGTTTTATAAAATTAATTAAAAAAATGTAAAAAGTTAATAATAACAATAATAATGTTAATAATAGCAATAAAATAGTGGCAGCAATAAAAATAGCATTAAAGCAATAATACTTAGTATCTAAACAACTGTCATAGTTAATAAAATTAGTATAATGGTCAAACAGGAACAAAAGCAATAATTAACATAGCAATACAGCAATATTACTGTAATTATAAATTTAAATAAAAAATTTTTTTTTCAAGCATTGTAACATTCAGTTTAATTATGATTTTTGAGGTAAAACCACTAGTTGAAGACAACCAATCAACCAGTGGTTTTACTTCAAAAACCATATTTTTACAGATGGTGTACCGGAAGTTTTATGATTTTGTTATTATACTCGCCATACAAACCTTCAGAAAATATTTTTTTATTGTTACTGTTAGTGTTACCACTACTACAATATTAATAAAGCTGCTACTGCGATACTGCTACTTCAAGTTCCACCGCCGCTGCTACTGCTACTATTATACGTCTAGTGCTACCTGTTAGTGTTCATATATTGTTACGATTACCTGTCGAACGTTGTGATGTGGTTGTATCCGTTATACGTGTTGTCACATCATCTGCTACTACTGTTGTGGTTGTATCTGTTATACGTGTTGTCACATCATCTGTTGCTACCGGTGTGGTTGTACCCGTTAAACGTGTTGTCACATCATCTGTTACTACCGGTGTGGTTGTATCCATTATATGCGTTGTCACATCATCTGTTACTACCGATGTGGTTGTACCCGCTATACGTGTTGTCACATCATCTGTTACTACCGGTGTGGTTGTATCCGTTATAAGTGTTGTCACATCATCTGTTACTACCGGTGTGGTTGTACCCGCTATACGTGTTGTCACATCATCTGTTACTACCGGTGTGGTTGTATCTGTTATACGTGTTGTCACATCATCTGTTGCTACCGGTGTGGTTGTACCCGTTAAACGTGTTGTCACATCATCTGTTACTACCGGTGTGGTTGTATCCGTTATATGCGTTGTCACATCATCTGTTACTACCGGTGTGGTTGTACCCGCTATATGTGTTGTCACATCATCTGTTACTACCGGTGTGGTTGTATCCGTTATACGTGTTGTCACATCATCTGTTACTACCGGTGTGATTGTACCTGTTATACGTGTTGTCACATCATCTGTTACTTCCGTTGTGACTGTATCTATTGTACCTGTCACATCTAAATATAATTTATTATTTTTTTAATTATCAACACTAAATTGTAATCGCAGAATGCACCAAATACAAAAAGAAACTAATTACTACAACACATGAAGGTTAACGTCTTGAATTAGGCATCAAAAGATAGAAGATATATCTTGTTCTTTTAATGAAATAAATAATTTGTCTACCAATTTCCAAAGTAGTCTACTAGTCGGCATATTGTTTGTCATCGATAGCATAGTAAGCAATCTTAAAGATTAGTTACTAGGTTTAACTTTTTATGAGTGGTTTGAAGCAGCGGTTGTTGTTCTGCTTCTATGTGGTCGGAGGTTCAATCCCTCGCTGTTCATTTCGCTTGTGCCCTTGGACAAGCTCCATCAAGGAGTAAATAATGGGTATGTCAACAGATTAGAAATAATTTGTGAATGAACACAACCAAATGTAAAAGAAACAAATGCAGGTCCAGCAACAGGAAATAGGAACATTTAGTAGGGATGTCTGGGATTCTGTAAGGCGAGATTAGCATTAGAAATTTGCCATGTATTGGTTCAGTTAAATAATCATGAAACCGAGATCTGTTTCATATGCAAATACCTTGACCACTGTCATGATATCATATACAAGACTGAATTACTAGTCTTTTGCAAGATTTAGAAACATAAACACATAAAGGAAAGAAAATTTATATTATTACAACTGTTTTATACTTTTATACTTGAAAATTGACCCAAAAATGCTAGGTATTCTACTGTGTCCTTACTCATTATATTTTCTGTAACTATAATACTTGATGGGTTAACAGTCAAATTGACACCGTCAGCAGTAACTAAACCATCAGCTGCAGCCGTTCGCAATTCTTCTTGAACATCTTGAGCAGATACATTTGTGTCTGCAATAAACTGGACTTGTGCATCAGCAATAATACTTCCTGATGAAAGTGCCATTACTTCACAGTTGATGTAGTCATCAAAAGCACTAAGGACAACATTAACCTAAGAAAATAAACATAATGATAATAATGATAAAGCAATGATGATATTAGCAGGGAGGAACCTCCCAGATATTAGTAATGGTAATATATAGTACAGTAATTATGATACGATACGATACTCTTTTATTTTTATTTTAACAACATGGCAAGAATGAAATTTGTGTTAATTGATCCGATAGGATATACATATAATAGATTATAGGTAAAAATAGATAAATATAATATCTAAAAGAACCATATGGGTGGGTGGAGTCTCAGGATCAAGAAGAGACTACCATGACCAACCAGTTAAAAATAAATGGAGACGGCGCTAAACTGAAGCTGAAAAAAAACCCCAGAAAATAACACCAAAAGGTCAAAAAAAAATCTGGGAGTCATAGAGACAACTGCTCCACTGCTGGTGGATCACAATGAGTTTGTAAATCACCCCACCCACTAATATGAGACATTGGAACATTTCTATTGTGAATTATAGTAGTATTAAATACATGTATGGAATTATGAACAAAAGATTATAATAAAATAGATAATCATAACCATAGTAACTAAAGCAGTCACTCTATAAAGTGCATACCTCCACCCTGTGCCTCAATGCCGAAAAATACACAGGCCAGGCAGGGGGAAAAACAAATTTCCATTGTCCTTTGGCTTTATCTTTCCATTTAATAATCTTTCTTTTTTTAGATTATTATGTACCATTTCCCTAAGTTTTATTGTGATTTATTTGGTAGTTATTGCATAATCTTGCTAACAGACAGACAGGGGAAACTTGGCGGAGGTAATAATATTAATAATAGTAATAACACCATAAGGCCCAAATATTTATCGCAGAGACCTGTACATCATATACTGTACACATTGACCATTTATACACAAACCAAAACTGTCCATGTACTGACGTAGTTTGTTCATATTCCCCACTAAGTTAAGCCGGACACTCACTGCATAGTACGACGAATCCACATTTGCTTCCGGCGAGCGGTAGACGACGCAACGCCGTCTGCTGATCTGAACGGATCCTCAATTAAAAGATGATCCGTTGGGTCCGCGTCTTTGTGTGCGTCACATTGCCGTCGCGTCGCCGTCACACGCAGTGAGTAACCGGCTTTACGCTTTACTTACAGCAGAGGATACATGCCCTGCAATTGTGATGAATCCATCTGAAGTTTGATTACCGAGGTCATTAGTATATTGAACTGGATCTTCATCAATACTGTCAATGGTTAGTGTGAGTGGATAGAACAAGGCAGACACTATAGTAAAAAAGATCAATATAAACACAATCTTAGTGACACGGTTTAAACAAAGTTCACAACCATCCAATTAGTACATTTATTTTTATATTACATTATTCTCTTCACATGACAAAAACATTACCAATATTATTCATTCAGGCAAGCTACAGTACAGGATTATCTGTAAATGTTTACAAGAAACCATGCAACTTAAGGTTTTCCAGTAATATTTTTCTCTTCTCAACTTACTATAATATTAGAGGAGTATAAAAGATTATTTTTTATTATTTAATTCGAAACGTAGGTTATCGTGATGTGTAAGTAACCGAAGACATTGTTATGACTAGAAATTTATACGGATTTAGAAGCTTATATAGGCTATGCATAAAAGATGAAATAACTAATTTCTGTCTACTCTTCTACAGTAGTCTACTTGTAGGCATATTGCTTGTCAACATAGTGATACCATCAGGGCAGATCCAGACATCCAAAAGGCGACCGATCGAGAGGCAACAATACATTAGTTTTCTAGATGCCCGGAAATAACTCCTGAGGCGTTTTGGCCGATCAGTACTTTTTTTCTTTTATGCTCTTTTATTTTATTTTCAGGGAGCCTAGCCCCGGAAAGGGCCAGGGCTAGGCTCTCCACCCCCCAAATCTCCCCTGACCATAAAAAGCAACATTGAAGGTCTACTTTGTAAACACTTATCTGGAACTGAATAAGCCAAATTCTTAATGGAACCCTTACCCACAAAAAAATAATTGAATCATCTAACCCAGGTGGTTCATCCAGGTAAGTATCTCACTCCTAAAACAATCAATCAATTCTGATTTGTGTGATTATTTACTGGGTTTTAACTGGTTTGGGAGTGGTTTGAACCAGCAGTTCCGGTTCCGCCTATAAACATGAGGTCGAAGTTTCAATCCTTCGCTGTTAATTTTGCTAGTTCCTTTGGTCAAGGCATTTACCTACGGATGCCTCCCTGCCCTGGAGTACAAGTGGGTATCTGGTAGGTTCAAAAACAAAATGTGCCTATTGCAAATGTAACATTATGGAATTTCCCCAGGAAGCTAAGTATTTGTTCCATTATGTGCTTGATCCAATGGCCGTGGGTAATAAAGTGAAGCTCTTAGAGGCTGTGTTGGCATGAAGCACTATCTAATTCTAAACTCTGCATTACAATTTGAAAAGGAACTCATCATTATTATTATAAGGCATCCTAACTGAAGAATATGGATATTGCAACAGTTCCTCCTGACTATAGTGTGGAGCTTTTCTATACCTCTCTCAAAAAGTCCCACATTAGGAAAGGTGGCAACAGGTGAAATCAAGAATCTGTAAGCCTGCTAATTTATCTTAATATATCCTAATCAACATTATTTTGTGGAAGCCCTTGTATGTAGAATGAGATACTTGAACGGGCGGCATAAAACTTAATTCAGTAGGATTCAAAATGACATTGCATATAACTACTGATTTTCTTTTTTGTAGAAGTAATAAATGTGAGTGGTGTATTTCTAACTAAAGAATTGG